TGAAATATTTCCCAATTACATCTTAATTTAACTTGGGACCAACTGAGGGGCATTGCCACATGTTTGACACTTACTCTAGGTAATTCTGAAAGATTCTAAGTATCAGAGAAAATGGTGGTCTTCATCCAGGAGTTCCTTATATATTTTTTATTTTATTTATTTTATTCTGAACTTGAGAAATAAAACAAAAATAACATAGTAGGATGGGGGGAAAAGATGATTGTACATGAAACTGCAAATCTATTACGTACAAGTTACATCAGTGAAACTGAAGGGCCAATTCTTATCCTACTCTGTAGTGTATGCAAGAGCAATCCCATTGAAGAGGACAAGGGAAACATACAGATAAGTGCTAACTAAATGATGAAAAGCTTTAATGCCCATGAGTGCCCAAAGAAGGAAGGAACAATTGTTGAGCTCTTCGAGGGGAGGATTCATCTAATTTTTGTCTCTTTACCTGCATTGCCTGGCCCAGACCAGGTATTCAACACTCATTAAATTGGATTAAAGTGACAGGAGTTAGGTAAAGTCAGTCTCGGAAGGCTTCCTGAAAGAGTGGGTGTTTAGCAGGACTTAGAAGGAGGGAAGGTGCTGTATTTGGTTGAGAAGAGGGGACATGTGACAGCTCAGAGGTAGGAGAAGGGGGAACCTGAAAAGGGAGAAGAGTGAGACATGGAGAAAGAGGGAAGTATATACAATTGGGAAGGAGTGGTTCGTAGCAGAGTCAAGCTTATATGCTCATGGGAAATAAAGGTAGTTGAATGAGGAATCGGAGGAAGATAGTATAGTTGATAGAGGACCTTTGAAGACCACAGTCAGCAAAGTGCCTAACACACAGTAAGCATTTAATAGATGTTTGTTCTTCTGACTTGACCTTGTGCCTCCAAGGTCATAGAAAATGTGTTGTTTGGTTTTGCCTAATGGTGTTTATTTGTTTGCCTTTACAAGGGAGAGTTCTAGGAAGGTCAGGAATGTATTAGGAAGTGACATCAATGTTAAAGGAAAAAACTATCAGTAAAAGAGCTCATCTCTCCCCTACAGCAGAGACAATCAGTACACTGGCTGGGCTTAGTCTAGGGAGCTGAGGCCTAATGGTGGGGTACCTCCCCAGTATTTCTCACTATACACAAAAAACCCACCTCATTTCTCCTTCATTCCCAGAGCCCATCTAGACTACTGACCACCAGGGCCCTGCTGTAGCTGTAAATGAGAACCCCAAAAGGATCAGACAGAGTTGAGGGTGGGGCTCCATTCTAAGAGATATCCTACCAAGACCACTGGTGGGTCTTTTTTTTTTTTTCAAACAATGGCACAGATGACCCCATAGAGCATAGGAAGGGGCAAGTAGGAAGGCTTTCACTCACCTTTCTGCCACTCCCTTGGAGCATACAAGGTTCCTGGAGATAAGGCCTGCAGAAAGATCAGTTCATCAATATGGGAACACTTTCACTGCAGCCCCAATCTAGATAGATAGACTCCCCCTACCCCACCCCTACCCCACCACTCAACTGGGCCATTTTGGGTCCCAGAGACACACTACAAATGATAAGGGGGTTGTTTAGAGCATCTGTCCTCGAAGGAGAAACCTGATTCTGACCTGCAAGTACCAATAGTAGACAGGTAGCATTTTAAAGTGAGCAAAATATTTAATCTACATGATCTCATTTGCCCCTTGAAGCTAATGGGGGGCAGGTGGGAGGGAAATTGTCTATCCAGAGTGGAGCTATAGTGAGAGGGTCCATCTGTGTGACACTAGGGACAAATGGGAGAAGGAACTGTGTGAAGAAGGCACAGAGAGACTTGACTGACAGGCACAGAGACAGACCCTCACCTAAGTAAGCTTCAGATAGGGAAAGAAAGAAAAAGAGGGAAGGAAACAGAGGCTATAAGCAGTTTCTCTGCAGGCCCTGCAGAAGAAACAGGTAGCATTCTCTCCTTAGCCTTCCCCCACTGAATTCCTAAAGCAGGGAGGGCTTGGGTTGACAGGTTTAGCCATTCCTACCTCCTACCGAAGAGACAATATGGCTTTGTGATTAAAGAGCCAGACTTGGAGGCGTAGCTTTGAAACCTGCCTTAGTCTTGCTAGTTAAGTGGTCAAAAACAAATCATTTCACTTCTCTGAGATTCAGTTTACTTATGTGTAAAAGAGAGATTATAATACTGGCACTACCAACCCTCCAAGGGTCCTTCAAGGGGCAAATAAGATAATGTAGACTGAGTATTCTTCTCACTTTAAAGTGCTATCTAACTGTCCACTGTTGGTACTTGCAGGTCAGAGTCAGATTCCTCCTTTGAGGACAGATACCTCAACCTACCCCCCTCCATCATTTGTATTGTGCTATAGGATCCAACAGGGCCCAGTTAGGTGGTAGGATGGGGGAGGGAGTCTGTCTATCCAGAGTGGGGCTGCAGTGAGATACTGCAGCACCTGCTGCATTCAGTCCCCTGGCATTGCTCTAGTGGGTAAAAGAAAGGGAAGCCGCGGGGTGGGGAAGGGGAGGGGAAGGGAGGGAGATGAGAAGGGAGGGAATAGGGTCTGCAGATACTGTCTGGCATGGTTATAATAATAGCAACACTTCTTCCTGTGAGGCTGGATTCCTCATATCTGTTGGGGATTGTTGCTATTGATTTTCTCTTCGTTGTCAATTTCATTGTGTTGGCAAGAGCTAGGGGGATATGGATCTCCCCTGAAGTTAGATCCTCTTGTCTCTTACCAAATCCCTGTCCCAAGACTTCTCCAGAAACAGAGTTCCATATAAGATTAGGGTCCGAGCTCTGAGTTTAGTCAAGAATTATTATTATTAATTATTCATTTCCCACTGCTGGAAATTCAGGGATGTTATGGTTGGCATTTGGGGTGGGTGGGAGAGAATTATAGACCCAGTGGCATAAACCTCATAAATATTCATTCTCTGTTCTAGGGGAGTTTAAGGTTATGTTCTGGGGTCAGTGCTCCCTTTAGCTCTGGCTGAGCTGGGAGACACCCCCACTCTCATTTCTATTCCCCTTCCCCAGAGCCAGGTTACAATGGTGGTGCTGGGGTGCATGATCCTTGCTCTGTATGCGCCGCATGTGGGACTGCAGAGCCGGCAAGAAGTCTTGGGTTTTTCACCCCGGCCCCCCCCCCCGAAACCCCCGAGCCTCCAGCTTTGCCATAATCTGGCAAAATGGAGGCTCCGGCTGCTGATCCAGAAGGGTAAATTGGGCCAGGGGATGTTTCCCTTTTGCATGCCTCCTATCTTCCAGTCTCCGGGGCCACTGTAGTTCTAGCCGGCCTTCTGAAGGAGGGAAAGGGCCTGGGGGTCCTCTAGCCATGAAAGCCCTCTGCAGAAGAATAGAAACAATACTGACCAGGAGCCCGGTCCTGATGGGCAGCACCTGGGCCTGGATGACTGGGGGGGAGAGGTAAGGGGGAGGAGGGTGGCCCCCATCTCTCTAAGCAGAGATGCAAGAATCGGGACCTGGGTAGCAAGCATCTGAAGCCTGGAGAACGGAGCCGTGTGCGAGATGCTCCAGGAATTGGAGGCTCGTCTCAGTCAGTGCTGATTGCTAAATCCGAGCAGTCCTGAAGCTGGGAGCTCAAGGGAGGCTGGGTCAGATCACCTGGGCAAAGGTGCACCCTCCCGCCCCCACTGCAATGGCTTTGGGATCCTGGGCTCGGGAGGCTGAGGAAGTCAGGCTTGGAGGAGCGTTTGCCCTTTCCCCAGGCCTCGGGCGAGCTGCAGAGGTTTCTGTCCTTAGAGAGGAAAGAGGCTGAGATCGAGGGCTGCTGCCCCCTTACCGGTCCATCTAGCTCTCAGGTTCCTCTGTCCTGCAGGGGTCCAAGAGGGAACCAGACCCTCAGTGCTTCCACGTCTGGACCCTGAGGGATGTGAAGGGGACAAAGGAATCGGCTGTTTCCCTGTGTCCCTGGGAAGGGGCTTAATTGGGGCCGGGCAGGCGAGGGTTAACGGGAGGTGCTTTCTGCTGCAAGGCTTGGCAGGAGTGTACTACTGGGTTGCTGAAGAGCGGAGAAGGGAGAGGAGGGTTAAGCTGCAGTCTGGATTGGAGAGAGCTGGGGGGCTCTGGGCCGGAACCCCTAGGAGTGATGAATGCAGGACGGGGGACCCCTCGATGCCCTGGGGCCTGCGGGATCGGGTTACATAAGGGCCAGCCCCGAAGCCTCTTCCCTCGCCCTCTCCCCCCCTCTCAGTTCTGCCATCCCGCCTTGAAGCAGATCTAAGCAGAGCTTTCCATCGTCCTGCAGAGGAAATGCGAGGGGTTTTCTCTAGGGGGGGAATCAATGGTCGGCTGGAGGTACTTCTCAGCTCAAATGCCACCCCTGTCTGAGGAAGGCCGGTGGCCCTGGGATCCTTGGGGGAGAGTAAGTCTGCGGTCTCGGCGGCTGTCAGGGCTGAGGAGTGGGGGAGGGGGGCTTCAAAGAGGGAGGGGTGGTGCTTCCTCTGCAAAGTTGAGCTCTTGGACGATATTTTTTCCGTTCTCCTCAGGACTGGCTCAGGTCAGGGCTTAGATCAACCATCCTTATTCCCACCCCAAGCCTGGGAAGCTTTAACCTAGGCCCATCCTTGGTTTGCCCGAGGGTCCAAGCGGGCCCTGTGTCCCCTTCCTTCATTCCCTTCTCCACCCAAGAGGAAGGCGTTAGGCTCAGACTGGGCGGGGGGGGGGGGGGGGGGGGGAGAAGATTCCCCAAAGAGCTTGGCCTGGCCGTGCTTGCTGGCTTCTCTCCTTTGCAAGAAGGAATCACCGGGTTGCCAGCTGGAGGGGAGTCAGCTAGAAAGGATGGGGAGCTGACCCGCAGTGGTCCCAGGGCACGATGCAGGCGGAGCCCCCAGCCAGAGGGAGGGGTGGGCAGCCAGGTCCCTTAGAGAGTGAGGGCAGCGTACTGAGGCCAGATGTGTTGCCCGGGGCAAGTGAGAAACCAACCCACATGCCCCAAGAAGCCGAGTCTTGGCAGCCACTGCCTCACAGCCCCAGTTCCACCTTGCTGATGTTTTTTCCAGGCAACGTCACACCTCCTGAGGACGACGGGGAGGACACTGGGTTTCGCTGAGGTTTGCATCTTACCGCCGTCAAAGCGGAGGCTCCAGACACGAGTTGGGCTGCCCTGGAGCCAAGGACCACACTGGCCAGGTTTCCTCTACAGTCAAACGCCGGGGCTCACCTCCGGGAGCCGGAGCCTACCCTCCTGCCCAGAATGACTCACCATTCTTCCCTACTCGAGTGCTAGGACAATATGGGGAGCTCAGCTGTCTATTTGTGTATCTAGGATTCCCCCAGAGTCTCAGCGGCTTGGTTACTAAGAGACCTCCCTGATTCCAGCTCCTCCAGGTAACCCAATTTGTTGTTTTGTCATTTGCCGTTTGCCTAAAGCCAGTGGTGCAGACCCATGCTAAGCACCCTCCCATCCTCTTCCAGAAGTGGGGGAGACTGCTGGGGCACAGGTATTTGCAAGTGAATAGTTCAGTGCCAAGAGCTGGGATGGTGGTGGGTGGGGGCTGTGCTGTAAGGAATAGGAGTAGTGCAGAAAGAGACTTTATTTCCCTCCCCCTTCCCACTATCCAGGGAGCCGCCTGCTTTAGATGCAGTGGTGTGGCTTTCTTGAGAGACTGCTTTGGTGCCTCCTCTATGCCCCCTCAGTACCAGGAGTTTGAATAAAGTTGTTGGGGTCTGGAGAATTTGGAAGGGGGGGGAAGAAGATAATTTATCTTGAAACTCTTCACTGGCCAAGAAATGGGAGGCAAGCATTGATGGCTTTGGGGTATGCTGGCCACTGCTTGTATTTAATTCTCTTACCTGACTCTGTCTTTCAGCCAAACCAAGCAGGAGCTCTTTGGTGTGCAGAGCTCCCCCAGTGCTCTCATGTTCAAACCCAAGCTGATACACCCGCTTTTCTGGGGGACATTAGCATTGTCCTGAAAGCTCTCCCCTGGGACAGCTGGAAGGTGTAGAGCCAGGAGCCCTCCCCAGCCCCCATTATGACAGTGGCCACTGGAGACCCAGCAGATGAAGCTGCCGCCCTCCCTGGGCACCCCCAGGACACCTATGACCCTGAGGCAGACCATGAGTGCTGTGAGAGGGTAGTAATTAACATCTCGGGATTGCGATTTGAGACACAGCTCAAGACTTTGGCCCAGTTTCCAGAGACCCTCTTGGGGGACCCTAAGAAGCGAATGAGGTACTTTGATCCACTCCGAAATGAATACTTTTTTGACAGGAACCGCCCTAGCTTTGATGCCATCTTATATTACTACCAGTCTGGGGGCCGGTTAAGACGCCCTGTGAATGTCCCCTTGGATATCTTCTCAGAAGAAATTCGTTTTTATGAACTGGGTGAGGAGGCGATGGAGATGTTCCGAGAGGATGAAGGCTACATCAAAGAGGAAGAGCGTCCTTTACCAGAAAATGAGTTTCAGAGACAGGTGTGGCTTCTATTTGAATACCCAGAGAGCTCTGGGCCAGCCAGGATTATAGCTATTGTGTCTGTCATGGTGATTTTGATCTCCATTGTGAGTTTCTGTCTTGAAACTTTGCCCATTTTTCGGGATGAGAATGAAGATATGGCTGGTGGTGGGATTCCTTTCCATACCTACTCTAACAGCACCATTGGGTACCAACAGTCCACTTCCTTCACTGACCCTTTCTTCATTGTGGAGACACTATGCATCATCTGGTTCTCCTTTGAGTTCCTAGTCAGGTTCTTTGCCTGTCCCAGCAAAGCCGGTTTCTTCACCAACATCATGAACATCATTGACATTGTGGCCATCATCCCGTACTTCATCACGCTTGGGACCGAGCTGGCAGAGAAGACAGACGATGCCCAGCAAGGCCAGCAGGCAATGTCATTGGCTATCCTTCGTGTGATCCGGTTGGTAAGAGTCTTTAGGATTTTCAAGCTGTCCAGACACTCCAAAGGGCTCCAGATCCTAGGTCAGACCCTCAAGGCCAGCATGAGAGAATTGGGCCTCCTCATATTCTTCCTATTCATCGGGGTCATTCTCTTCTCTAGTGCTGTCTATTTTGCAGAGGCAGATGAGCGAGATTCCCAGTTCCCTAGTATCCCTGATGCCTTCTGGTGGGCAGTCGTCTCCATGACAACCGTAGGCTACGGAGACATGGTCCCCACCACCATTGGGGGAAAGATTGTGGGTTCCCTTTGTGCAATTGCAGGTGTCTTAACTATTGCCTTACCAGTCCCTGTCATAGTGTCCAATTTCAACTACTTCTACCACCGGGAGACAGAGGGAGAGGAACAGGCCCAGTACTTACAAGTGACCAGCTGTCCAAAGATCCCATCTTCCCCTGACCTAAAGAAAAGTAGGAGTGCCTCCACCATTAGTAAGTCTGATTACATGGAAATCCAGGAAGGGGTAAACAACAGCAATGAGGACTTTAGAGAGGAAAACTTGAAAACAGCCAACTGTACCCTGGCTAACACAAACTATGTGAATATTACCAAAATGTTAACTGATGTCTGACTGAAACCTATTAGCATATTTACAGCTCAAGTGGAACTAATGCAGATATTGCGTAATAGCCTGCATTGTAGCTGTGTCCTAACCGCGTGTACTTGGTTATGCATGGAAAGCAAGAATTGTGAAGTGATTTTTTTTATTTCTTTAAAAAATTTTTTTAAATTTAGAACACAGACTATCCTGTATGTGGCTTTCATGCAGACTTTCATCACAGATTTAGAGGTTTCCAAAGACTGAAGACATAGAAATACAGGTGCAACTCATGTAGTCAGGATTCAGAAAGGGACATTGGAACTATCTCATATAAGCAGCATGACCTACTAGTATCAGTGTGTCAACTCTCCCAATTAACTGTCCTTAGCACATGCAACGGATTTCCCTCTCCATCAGACTTCCCAGTCAGCCCTTCCTTCTTTCCTTTTCCTTTCCCCCTCTCCCTCCCTCTTCCCTTCCTCCCCATAGCCAGAATGGATCCTGACTTCACTTTCTAAGCTTTGGTAACTATTCCAAATGTCATCCCCATGTTTTGCATTGAAAAGAACACACAGCCGTGCATGCAGAATCACTTTCTGTGTTACCGGCGTGGTGAATTGCAGTTGCCAAGTGGAGAGCTGCTGAGGCTGGTTTCATAACAGAAAATACTGCATTCAACTCTTTCTCTGCAGTGTCAGTGCGAGGCCCAGGGGAGGGACAGCTAGTGTGACCCAAGATGGGTTGTTAAGGCTCAAATTTCATACTCAAGTCTTAGGGGAGAAACCAACCAAGGAGCCTCTCTGCCTAGAGGGTCACCATTTTTTACCATCTTCAGGGTCGCCGAAGAGAACGACCAATCCCTCTATGACACCTGAGTTTCCCAGAGTCTCCTTTTGCTACCGTGGTAGCCTCTGGGCATATTGATACTGCAGTGAAACCCAACAGTGCTTCAGCATGAGGATTTGTTGCATGAATCTCAATATCTAATACACATGAGATTAATCTGTTGTTGTTTTTTTCAGAGTAGCCTACACACACAGTATTCATGCTTATAGTATTGATAGACTCAGGATGACACTGAGTTTGGGGACTTTTTAAACCATGGAAAGCCAAAAGTCCTGAATAGGGAGGGGGAAAAACATAACATGAGACTCCCTGGAAAAAGGGAAGCCAGACCTTAGGTATGCATTCCACAGTTCTTCCAGGCAGGGGCACAGACTTCTGCCAAGCCAAGAAGGTGAAATAGTAAGGAAAAGCCTGAGCAGACCATGTGGACTACACCTTAGTAATCAATCTTGTTGCAAGTAGGATTTTTACAGTTGGCCAGAGCATTTAGTTGTGAGAGCAGGTGGATCTGTAGATCCAATGTACATATACCCAATATCACCTTCATGTGTTCCTCAACCTACCTACCTAGCTAGAGATAAAAAAAAATAGTTGCATTCAAACATGGTATAAGCTTATGCAATATTTTTGACACAGGGCAATTTATGCATGTGTTCTGACTATGTGCACTAGTGCGTGTATATGTCTTGCTACATATACATGAGCAAACACACGACACACATACAAATATAAGTATAAATAGTAGTTATATATATGTATATATATGTAAATGTATACTCTCTGGAGTTCAGGTTCAGAGGGCAAAACCATTGCTCTGTGAGCTGGGGAAATGACTCATGCATGTCTAAGAGGCCTCACGAGTTCATGTTGGATTGATCCTCATTTTGGATTGGTTCCCCCACTGGGCCATGGTTTTCTGCCATCACCTGAGACACTCCAGCCTGTGTGGTTTCTTAGACCATTACAAAATGTCTTTCTGCCCTCCATGTGCTGCAGCTCCAGTCCCTGTGGCTGAAGCTTGTCTTACTGAGTGCACAAGGGCCAATGGCCCTCATGGTTCCCTCAAGATGCCCCTCGGCCTGGCCCCAGGGGCAACCTTTTCATCACCAGTCCTGAAACCCAGCGGGACAGAATTAACTCCATCACCATTTCCCCACCCCCACTCCTCCTTGCCTTTCATTTCCTTTTCACCTGGCTCTGTCTACCCAGCCACTTCCATGGCTCTTTCTTCCCCATGTCTCCTGATTCAGTACTGAGGCCAACAAGAAATAGGACCTTTCTTAGACCTAGGAATTTTAGTTTTTGACTGAACTCTCTTCTCTCTCTGCCCCCACTATCTAGAAAAGTACAAAGGTAAATCTGGATAACTGAAATCTGTGTATGGTCCATAAACACTGTTTGGGTCACCAGACACAACCTCCATGCCCCCCATAACTCCTTCTTCCCATTAGACCTACTCAAAAGTGGCAGAGTAGTGTGGGAAATGGTGTTGGTGTCAGAAAGCCCTGGGCTTCACTGTCCTGCCTCAGAGATTTACTAGCTACATGATTCTGGGCAAGTCACTTAACCCTACTGCATCTCAGTTTCCTCATCTGTAAAATGAGAGGATTAGATTTGATAGATCCCCTGAAGTCTGTTCAGGGTCTAAATCTATTATCCTAAGTGGGTGGCATCCTAAGTGATCTTCTTTTCTTCTCTCCCTTTGCCCCCTCCTCCAGCCCGTCCCTGGGGGAAGCTAGTGAGCAATGGGAGCACCTAAAGCTTTGCAAGGAGTGACAAGGATCAGAGCCCCATGCCTTCCTCTAGGGCTGAATGTATCTAAGATTCTCACAAAAACAAGAACAGAACTCTGTGAGCCCCAACTTGCCCCTTAGGTATCTGTGTCATAGGCTCATTTCCTTGTCTGCCGACTTGCTCAGTACCTGTGGTTGACACGGGGAGGCATTAAGGTAGGAGTCTAATGGTTCTGAACCACTTTGGTGCATGGATTCCTTGGCGCAGTAAAGGCCCATGATGTACCCTCATGGACTCACACGTCTTCAGGGGTTTGCCCGGTTCTGTGCAGTCATCCTTATATGCACCCAGTCCATCTGAGTTCATTCTGAATTCCCAGAAGTTAGGAAGGGTATGTACCCATTCTGATAATAGTTGAAAGGGAAGCAACTCAGGTCTATAGACTCTAGGTCAGGACTGTAGATATTTTATTACAACATCCTTCTAGAGAGGATTGAAGAGCAGAGAATTCCCCTGTGGGATAGAAAGTGCTCTTAAAAAGAAAGTGAAAAACAACCCTCTGATCAAGAGACACAAATACATGCAATATACACATGTGCAAGAGACATACAACACGCAAATATGGGGGAAACCCATGGAAAATACACAGGACCAGACCTATATGGTCCTACCCACAATTCAAATGCACAAATACAACATGCACAAATAATACACACATGACACACAACACACAAAGACATAACCAACACATACCAGGAGAATCAACATTTCTCTGGTCATAGAGCTATAAATGATAAGCACAAACCAAAGTACACCCTAAAATAAGCTTTATCCCCTTGGCCTCATCGGCCTCTGCAACACTCCTACACACACACACACACACACACACACACACACACACACGCACGCACCTCCCAGCTGCTTAGGGCTGCTTTTATACTGCCTGAATTCTTCGAGGGGCATCTGCTTTTACACCTCTCGATGACTCCCCCATTCTCCTCTTCTGAGCTTTCTCTTCTCTTCTTTCTACCCCATCCAATCCCAATTTTTCCCGTCTAAGGAGAAACCTCCATTTGCCAGTAAAGATAGGGGACTGGACCATCTCTTCCACAAGGGCTTCTGATTGGAGCAGGGAATCTTGATATCCCACCAAATCACTTTTTTTCCTCCCAGAAATCTGGGACTCAGAGCAGGCAGTGATTGATGGGCAAGCTCACTGCCTTACTGTACCACTTCCTCCAGAGATTACTGCCATGTCTATACATGGCCTGTTCCATTAATCCAGTGGGCTTTGTTGTTATTGTTGTTGTTCATTTGTTTGTTTGGAAGAGGGTGGAGTGGAAGCAGCTAGGTGGCACAGTGAATAGAGCACTGGACTGGGAATCAGGAAGGCCCAAATTTTAATGCTGGACCCATCCCTTAGTTTCTCTGAGTCTTGGTTTTCTCAGCTCAGTTTTTCTCAGTGAAAAGGAAATCCTAATAGCACCTTCTTCACAGGGTTGTTGCAAAGATCAGATGAGAAAATATACCAAGAACTTGCAAAACACCATATAAATATTAGCTAATTTTATTGTTGTTATTTTCTCTGCGTTACTGGAATCTCTAGGCTCAGCCCTAGAGATCCTCTTGGTGGCTGCTGGCTACTGAAACAACAGGGTCATGGGCTGAGAACAGCAGAAGAGGAACACCAACAATGTCACTGTGACATCCTTCCTACCTATAGCTTTATCTATGGCCTTTGCTGGGGTCATGGAGAGCCAGTCTAGATAAATAAGGAAAAATTACAGTTTATCTGAGGGAAAACATGGTTAGCTTTCCTTCCTGAAACAACAATTCCCTGGATCTCAGTTACTGAAATCAACAGTCTACTGTTGGTTAATTGGGATTGCTAAGGAACTTAGTAGTTGATTTACCATGGGTGGTTTATAAAAAGTGGGTTTCCCCCCACCCCTCAATGCATCCCTAGAAGCCAACTGGTGAGACTTAAGGAAAGTCAAACTCCTTTTAATGCCAGTTTGAGGGAAACATAGGAAGCTAAATTGACTGCTTTAAAAAGTGGAGGAGGGAGTGCTGAATTATGTCATTTATGTTCAAGATAGACAGAAGGGTCGTACCTGTGATTTACTCTGTATAGGATACAAGTCTATCAATGTCAGTTAACTTTCTCTTCAACTTGGATTCTTAAAAGAGTTGCCCAGAGCACTGAGACTTGACCAGGGTTAAGTGACTTAGCCTGGGTCACAAAACCAGTATGATCAAAGGCAGGACTTGACCCCAGGGTTTCTCAGCTTCAAGGCCAACTCTCTATTTAGTATGTCACTCCAAAACCTTAGTTAAATGATTTAAGGATTATCCAACATTATGGATTATCTCTATGTGTCATTAGTTCCTCTCGACTTATGTGAATAATTGTTGACATTCTAGTTTGCCCCCAATGAAGGCCAGTAGTTGAAGCAGTGCCTCTGGTCAGAGGGTTCTGGGAAGGGCCCAGGGGACCCTATGCTTTCTCTGCTCAAATAGGTAGCTATGATGGCCTTCCTTCCATTTGTCTGCCCATCTACACTTTATCATCTCTCTAGAGGCAGCAAAATCAGTTCAGCCATCACCAGAACTTTTGCCACAAAGTCGGTTCTTAGGCTCAAGCTGACATGATGGGATCTGTTTGGAAGTCAAGATCTAACTTGCTCTTTGGTTTCATATATTGTCTCTCAAACCTGAATTTCAGAACCCAGAATGTGGAGGAAACACGGTAGAATTTTCAAGAGGTTGATAAGGAAGATGAACCCTAGGAGAGAGGAGAAAGGCTGGGCTGAGGAAATTAAAATGGAACTGGACAATTTCCAGGCTAAACTATGCAGAAGCCAAAACTTAATGGAACAGAAGAGTCCCTGAGTTTATTAGGGTTTATGTGGTGCTTTGTAATCTCTCTCCCTTTCCCTCTCTTTCCCTCTCCCTTTCTCTCTTTCCATCTCCCTCTCCTTCCCCCCTCTTCTTCTTCTTCTTCTTCTTCTTCTTCTTCTTCTTCTTCTTCTTC